TACGGGAGGGATCAGAAAGGTGTACAATAGGTGCGTCTTGAAATAAATTTACCCAAACCGATGGTGCGCTGTGTTGAACTTTTACTTCTCACAATTCTCAACCGTCATTGTTTAGAATTATGGGAAGCCCAACTCCGAAGGATCCGATCCACCTTGGGGAACATTTTGTGGAAGTAGCAGAGTCAGGTGGATGGGAAACGAAGGGTACGGCTCTTTCTCTAAGAACTAAGGGCTCACCAGACAGCTGTTTTTTAATGTCTGCAGAATATTTTTGAAAAAAAGGAAAAGGGTTTTCTTTTAGGTTGTTCGGTGAGGTCGTGTGTGTGTGTGTGTGTGTGTGTGTGGTTTGGAAACGTTTACTTGATAACTTCAACCCTGGTTAAAGAATTACCAGGTCACGAATAGCATAGAATATTTGCAAACATATATACTTATTGTATGAAGCTTTAATTTACCAATTAAACCCATATACAAAAGTGATATTTTAAGATGCTTTTTTAAAAACAAAGCAACCAATCCCTCAAAAAATATTCTCCTATACTATATAAATCAGACATTCTGGTTACCATTTTAATACCATTCTTATTTTTAGGTTGCCCTCACCTCATTTCCAATTTATATAATTTCAGTTGATTTAGGAAGACTGTCTAGACTCGAGGCTGAAGGCACATGCATTTGAAGCCAATTTTGTGTATCAGGTAATATAGCTAGAAGAATAGACTGAAGATCATGTTAAGATTTCTTTCTAAAAAAAGTTACTACTGTCCTAAATTTTCAATTTACGGTAGTATATCAATTCAACACAGGAATTGTGTTAATACACAATTATATGTAAATGTAAGTAAGCAAAGGAATATCAAATATTTTTAATTGGAGGACTGCTTGTATAAAATATAAATCAGTACATTTCCTTCATAGACATCTTTTTTAAATGTGTCTTGAGATAATAGAATATGGAGTATATTATTCTTTTTATCCACCCATCCTTTCATTTCATCTAATGAATTGTTTTATTGCCACCTGTTAGTTCTTTAATGTGACTTCTTAAAATTCTGCAGCTATTTCTTTTTCGGGATAAGCAGAGCTGCTAGGAACAATTCTAGGAGCCCTAATATAGTATTGTCATTAATGAGCCTGTATAAAAGCTACTAAGTCTCTCTTTGCTTTTTTCAATTCTTCACACCTGACTAATTCAAAACAAGATTCCAGCTTCTCTATATAAACAAAGAATAATAATGATCAAAGAGTAACAGTCAAAAGCAAAACCATAAAACCCAAGCCATTCACATCACAATTATCTTAAATGAAAGTTATTGTTCTGCTAATCCTAGGAACAGCTTGCAAGGGGAGATTTGAGTCTTTCTTTAATAATGTAAAGTTAATACACAGTGCTCTTGTAATTATCTTTGTCAAAAAACCCTGGTTAATCTGCATGTTTAGCAGAAAAGGACCAAATCAAAAAGTGATCTGATTTAGAACACTTGATGTTTGTTTGTCAATTGTTTACATAAAAAGGTGAAGCAGTTAAATGCAATCCAGTTAAATGCAAAAAAAGGAAGTAGATAACGTAACTAGATTCCCCTACCTTGTGAGTGTATTAACTCATGTCCAGAGGTTTAACACAGAAAACCCTTTTTCATTTCTCTTTGTGTGATAAGACATCTTGAGTTCCACCAGATTTTAGTATTAATGGATTCCAGGAGAGCTAAGAATAACTTTGACAGGGAATTGCAGCTTCAGGACTGATATCAACATGTCTCCAAGATGAACTGAAGAACTGGCAAGTTTATTTCCTTAGGCAGCCCAAGGCAAAAGCTGCTCCATGGGGAAGGAGCATATTCTGCTTGTAAAAAAATAAATAATCCTTTTGGTCTAGTGTGTTCCACTTGTACTTGAGATTTCTGTCTTTAATGCAAATAAAAAGGAGAGAGATAATGTATATCTAAGGTAATGTAAATTTTACATTTAATTTTGAAACAGGAAGAAAGTTGAATCTAGGTTACTTGTGTAAATAACACAGGTAGTACTGCAGGAAAAGAAAAGGAGAACAAAAAGCCCAGCTACAGTAAGCAAGTTGCTTCCTCTGTACTGGATCCTTGTGGAATATAATGAAATGATTGATAATCAATTAAACAAGATTGCTTACTAGAAAACTAATTCCATCTTCATTGACTGTGAAGAACGTAGGGGGTGGCAAATAATACCATACATTATTTCTCATTTTGGAGATAAAAATCTTTTCCTTCTGTGCTTTAGCTTTTCCATGTCCCCAAGCCTTCTACCAATAAGAATTAAGAGTTTTTTTAATGGTATTTAATTTTAATGGTATTTAATTCTGTGTACCAGAATGACATAAATAACTTGTAGTTACCTAAAGACAGGAATCATTTTACACATAGATGTTATCGATCATAGAAGAAAAGAAAAAGAAGAGAAAAAAGAAATAAAAGGAAAAGTAGGGTACACTGAACAGCTTGAACAGGTTTAATATTGCAAATAGCTTTTGTTAGATGTATGCTATTTTTCTAGTTAATCTATGCCTCACTGAAAATTCCAGGGATTAGGTTTCAAGTTTTCGTGGATGCTATCCTTTAACTGATGTTTGACTGAATTTATTTCATTAATTATATATTTTTAAATCTTCCCAAAACAAAATAAGTATTTTCTTGCATTCTATACAAGTGAAATGGAAAGGAATAGATAATGTGGAAGTTCTACTAGACAGAGAAGTTTGTGCGATGTGTTAAAAGGAAGGGTAGGAATGCCCATTAGAAACAGAGCCATCCACAGCCCCTTAGGAAAAGAATGGGAATCTGAGGTCTTGCAGTTTCTTAACTAAACCACATGGAGGGAACATTCAGTTATCACTCACCACTATAGGTGGGCATGGCAGGGAAGAGATGACAGAATGCATGACTCCTGACTGTCCATTTAAAGTGCTGTCTATTGAAAGATCTCTAATTTTCTAGCAAAGTAGGAAAGGACATAGATGTTGGGCTACACACAGCATGGCAAAGGACTAGAGTAGACTGAGACATACTGTCTTTTTCACGGGACTGTCCAAGGTCCTGAAGAACCTTCATAGCCATTCCTACATCCTCTTTCCCCTCCTTGACTGCCAGTCTGCCGCATGGGCTATCACTGCCAAGCCTGGCCCTTTGCTTAGTATGAAACAACCTGTTTGGGATGACTTTCTGAATTGCCTACTTTTCGCCATGCTGACTTGGACACAATTTGCAGATGAATCTTAGCTCTCTACAGTTAGAGTTGGCAGTGAATGTTCACGCTCTGAGGATCTAGAATCACTTTTTTTGGCATCCTCATTCAGCTCCTTTGTTTCTGACTGATACCATATGAATTCTTGTGCCAGAAACAACGAACCAGGATATCTATTCCTTTTGCCCAATAAATGAGCAAATAGCAGTGAGTATAGTGCTACAACAATCAGAGTTTGGGAAGTGAATTGAATAGTTACCAAGCCTATATTGACTCTAAATGGTGTCAAGGAATAGCAACCACCATTTCAATATTGCTGAGCACATTGTAAGCCGCCCTGAGTCTTCGGAGAAGGGCGGCATATAAATCAAATTAAAAAAAAAAAATATGACTTGGTAACACCCTATCTTGCATATTCAGCTAGTCTGTATCTATTTCATTTCATTGGAGGACTAATTATATGTTTCATACTATAGACTCTCATTAAGGAAAAAATGGTTTGACTAACATACAGAGTACTTCGGGTTAGAATGCCTTCCTTCTTGTTAGGGTAATTTGAAAAGGAATCATTAAGAAGTAAGATGGCAGGAGTGCCCATGTGAAATCCCAACCCTTTGAAATGTCTGTGAGAGCCTTTAAAAAGGATCAGGGTCTCATCACGGGGTCTCATCTGCCTGACATTTTAACACCTCCCATGTATGCCGCTGCCTATTGTTGCTAAACTTCACAAATTTCTGAGTTCACTCAATACAGTAGACCAAACTGACCCAACCAAGTATGTTGTAGAAACGTATCCACAACATACCTGATTTGGTTTTGAGTCCATATATTGTACAAATCCAACCAGAGACTTGTCCCAATCCCCAGTGTTTAGCCTAAAATGATGCTAGGATGGTCTTCCTCAAAACTAGTTTTGACTATTATTTCCCTTCAATGCCAGCCAATGTACCAGCGGTCAGGGGATGAGGGAAGCTGCAGTCCAAAATATCCGGGGGGGGGGGGAGATCCAGATTAAGGCAATCAGATAGGTTTTCTTTCAGGAAGCTATTTAGTATTGATTCGATGGTGTAACCTTTATTAATCTCAGAGCCTTATGATGCCTTGGGATGTCCTGTGTTAAACCTCAACATGAGAGGTTTCCCCAAATATTTTGGGGACAACTTTCACTCTGGGGTCATTGAATTCACTTTGAGGAAGCCAAAGTGGAAAGTAAACGCCATTAAAAACAGAAACAAGAAAGCTGTTGAGAGAACATGGTAATTCTTCTGGAGGCAAAGTGTGATATGAGGAAGCCCAAAACTTTTCCTCCTTTTCCGGGGCAGAAATGTGCTGCTGTTTGTGCAGGAAAGATCCAGAAAGGAATCTCTTCAGCCGGGTGAATCTATCCAGGGCTGCTGAGAGGCCAGCGTCGCGGGGTAACCACTGGCATTGCTAGCCCCTGCCTTCTCCGCTTTGTGGACGGCTGCGAGCTCTGCCCGCCTTCCCCCAACGCCGAAAGGAGGGAGAAAAAGCGGAGCGCCCCCCCCCCCCTACGCCGCCCCAATGGAAGCCCAGAGGGCCCTTGCTCAGAGCGGCTCCGACGCGGAGTGAAATCTGTCCTGGCAGCAAGAGGGGGGAGGCGGGGCGGGGCGAAAAGGGTGATCGGATTGCGGGCAAATAGGTGGCAATTAATTATCCCGGATTGGGAACCAGTTGCTGCCCCGCGCGCCCGTCGTCGTCCCCCCCCCCTTCGCCGTCGCTCCCCACATTTCCCCTCTGATTGGATCCAGGCGCCGATGAGCGCGGGATATAAAGCTCCGGCCCGAGAGCCTCTTCCCCCTTCCCAACCGGCGGCGGCGGCGGCATGACGGGCCGCGAGGAGCTCCCGGAGGGCAAAGCCAAGGGAAACGCGCTGGCTCCCAGCAGCGCCTGTGGCCACGAGAAGGCGCGCTTGGGGAGCCCGGCCGGCTTGCGCTCCAAGGGCTTCGCCATCACCGACCTCCTGGGCTTGGAGGCGGAGCTGCAGCCGCCGGCCGGCTCGAGCTGCGAAGGCGGCGGGCCAGCTGCGGGCCGAGGAGGAGGAGGAGGAGGCGGAGGCGCTCCCTTGCCGCTGGGCTTGGGCTTCCTCTGCGGCTTTGCCACCCAGCAGCCCGCGGGGGCGCCTCGTCTCCTGCCGGCGCACCTCCCCTTCCTCCAGCCTCGCTCGGAGCACCAGCATCAGCACCCGCGGTACGGGCCGGAAGCCGAGAAGCCCAAGTTGACCGTCTCCGGTAAGCGATTCCGCCCCTGACTTGGGTCTCTCACGCTGGCGGAGAAAGCGACTTGCCGAGCAACTTTGCAGCCCTGATTCCCCAACCAGGCGCCCCCCCCCTCCCCCGCCCCTATGTCGCCTGGGGCCAACACCTTCGGAGGGACCTGTTGGGGACAGAGGTTTCACAGTAGCTGGAGAGAAGCGGTTTCTCCGCCCCCCCCCCCCCACACACACCGCGGGTTGAGAAGAAAAACCCTGCGGGATCCAATCTCGCCCTGAGGATCTGCTGTTCTTTATTTCCAAACCTCTAGTAAGCATAGTGGTTGACTTGACAGCCTGGGACCACAAGGTGTGCATTTGGATACCACATCACTAAAGTCCAAAATTACATTTAGAAACCCTATTTTATGGCACCATAAAGGTCAAAGAAATCCATGACACAAGTACATGTATGCATGAGGCAAAAGAACACACACACACACACACACACACACAACACACACACAGAGTCTCTGGCAAACAAATGTGGATATTCTCAGGAAGAATAGTGTACATCTCCCATACTTTTTAGATGGAGTCCGCTACTGCTGCAAAAAAAACCCACCCCTTTTCAGTATTTAATGCACATGAGAAGTAAATTCACAAATTCCACAATAAATGGATGTATCTAGCATGTAAAAGGGGTATTTTTAAAATGCCTAAATAATGTGTGCCTTTAAAAGCAGTATGAATTATGAAATGCAACCTGCTTGGTACTTGCTGCATATCTGAGTTAGTGGCACAGAGGTTTCCTGTTGATTCCTGTGGATCGTAGGCCTGTTAATAATACCTGCTGTGCTCATAAGAGTGTGGCTAGCTTCTCTGAACTCTGCCCTTCTGTCTTAGACCTTTCCCCACTGCTAAAATTTTATCTATCTATTCTTGAATCAGAAAAAAAACCCCTGCCATTACCAGTCCAAATCCCTTTCTCTTATTGCCTTTGTTTTCTGTCACTGCCAAATACCTCACTCACCACTAAAGTAACAAAACCCAACAGATTTTTTGATGTTATCCTAGGATTATGTCAGAATGGGGGAGAGGGGAAGAGAATAATTCTAGGTAGTTCTTCAATTATGTCCATTCATTAAGTGACTGTTCAAAGTTATATAATGGGGCTTAAAGATGGACTTACAATCAATCCTCAAAGTGCTAGCCATCACAGCACCCCCCCCAAATCATGTGATCAAAATTCAGGCCAGCCCAAATTTATGACTATTGACCCCTGAACAACTGTCTGCTGCATCCACTTCTCCTGCAGTACCCACCTTTGCTCCCTAGTGCCCACCCATAGCACACCTGCTCATGGCACCTGCACATGCTCTCTTGCATCCACCCACAAGCACCTGCCTCCCTGTTGCTAGCGCTAACCGGTAACTTTTACCCACCAACCTGCTTGCCTGGGATTCCTGCTTCTTCCTGCTTAATAACTCAGTTCTGGGGATATAAAGACACCTGAGACTGCTGGAATTGCTGCTGCTCAGTAGTGAAGTCATATGACATCATGCTTTACGACTGCATTAAATTCCAATCCCAACTGCCACTGTAACCTGACGTCTACCGGTATTTTAAAGTAATGCTGGAGTAAAATTTGCCATCCCCCTTGCTGATTTCTGTCCTACTTCTGTTGCATATTATAATATGCAAGAAATTTGTGACCGAGTGTCAGGCAAGATGATATGATGTGTCAGGCAAAGTGATCGATTTTCAACTTACAACAAATCACTAAACAGGGGAAAAAATCAGATTACTGCAGCAAGATTGGAGGGGGACTTACTTCAAAACTCTACATCAAGTTCTCTAGGCTGGTTTGTTTGCCTTTCTTTCCATACCCTCGTTGGGCATTTCCCAGCTGAAAATAATGCAAAATGAAGAAACATATGGGAAGACAACACAGCAAAAATTACCCAAGGAGGAGGAAGACAGACCTTGTCCTGTTTTGCAACTAGCTAGGTCTGGTCTAGCGGATAACAAAAATTGACAAGCTGCTGAATAAGCAGCTCCATCACTTCATGGGAAGAGGAGAAAAGATTGAAACTGACAAATATAGGGAAACTGGCAAACAAATAACAAAAATTCAGTGCAACACTCATTATTTTGAGGACACTGAAGTGTAGAAAAGTGGGCTTGCTGCATCTTAAGATAAAGATGTATTTCAGAATACCATTAAAACAGAGTGCTTAAAAATACCCCCGTTCTTCCCCAAATAAAAGAGTTCTCTAGTCTGAGGCAAAATTGTGCTATATAAAAATATGGAATGAAGACAGTAATTGGTATAAAAAGATTTCAGTAAACAAACATATCAGTAAACAAACATAATAGAGGAGGAAAAAAGGTCCAGGAAAAAAATAGCTACCAAACAGAGGAAAGATCATCACCATACTTTTCAGTATTTCCAAAGTACACATTTTGTTACACCTATAGTTCATCTCAAAATACTACACACAAAAGGAAGCTGTGCTGGTATAGTGTTTGGGGGGGAAATAGCGCTTGCAGGTGGTTACATCTAGTGACAATTTAAATCTGTTTCACTCATAGCTGGAGACAAGGTTAATGTGTTGTTTGGGTATGATTGTATCATGGTAAACTGTAAGCGGGGAAAAGACCTAAGAGAAGCATTTTAAATTTATAATTCCTGTCCTGTGTTTTAGGCCAAGAAATATGGCCTTCACCATAGCCGGATGAGAGTTTGGTAGTTTGAACAAGGATTACAAGGCTGTGCTTCTTGTATCTAATAAATGTAGCTCTAAATATCTTTCCCCCCCATTGGAGCTATCTAAAAACATGGAGATATTCTTCTTCTGAAGTATGAAAGACTTAAAGGCGATAAAGGTGATAAACAGTCTGAGGCGAGGGGAATGGAACTTCCTTTGCTTTTAAGTAACAATAGTCAACCCCTACCATTTTGAAATTAATATAACAATTCTGTTTGGTCAGTTTTTAAGCAATGTCCATTGAGTTCAATTGGATCTGTGTACTCAGTCAGGACAACATGCACATAGTTTACAGGCCAAGTTTCTAGAATATTTGTGAGATAAACTTGAACTTCAGTGCATATGAGTGTGTGTTTGAGAAATTAATGACTTGTTCCACCAAACTCTGCACTACCATTCTTAATCCACTTCATATGATCTGATATATCTGTAGGTGGTCAACTCTATACGTAATCTAGAGTTCATTTCCATTAACAGTGCCTTTTGACAAGGAAGTCAATTCCTGACAATAAAAATACCCAAGGAGATGTTTAGGATTTGGATAGTGAAAAACTACATGTCCAATGACTCTGTCCCTCTCTCTTTCTACTTCACAAATTTCAGGGCTTAGTAGTGAAAATTAGATCAAGTCTAAAATCAGTTCGAATAAGGAACTGCCTGGCTGATATAAACAGCCACTCTGTAGAACATAAGGTAGACCAAAGATCTAAAGACCCAGTATTCCATAAATATCCATGGAAAGTCCACAAGCAGGACATGAGCCCAGTGGCTTCTTCCTGCTATTGTTTCCCAGCAGCTGGTGTTCAGAAACAGTTTATTATTATTCGTTTGATTTGTGCTCCACATTTCTGTACCGCCAACTCAAAGTGGTTAATTTAAAAATACTTTCTCTGATATTGAGAGTAAGATACAGCCATTATATTCATTAGTCATTGATAGCCTTATCTCTTCCTCAATCCATTTAGCTTTGATCTCCCACACTACATGTTATGTAGCAAACTTCATAACTTTCTGAACAGCAAGATATTTATATGTAAGAGAATATATATATACATATACATTTTTTCCATATGGGTGGTGTGAATATATTTACACAAATTCTTCAAAGGGCAATTCTAAGGAGACTGTTTTTATGAAAGACTTTTGGATATGGAGATATGTAAAAATATTCAATTTAAAAGAATCAATGAGATGAGTGAAATAGGAGTATTCCTGCAGGGGACAATGGATTAAAATACGTTGACTTATATTTTCTCCCCTCTACTGTCTTGTAGATATTAAATATTTACACCAGAATATTTTTTTTTTGCCTGATGCATTCTCTTTTCCCATGTTCCTTGTCATACATCTACAATAGGCATGTTGGTTCTTCTGGAGGAATGGAGGCGTGGTATGCCAGATATTTAGGAAAAAATTCAAACAAATTCAAATTCCACTGTTATGGAACTCACCACTGAAAAAATTAGGTTATCACAGAAAAATTAAAGGGTGCACATGTGAAGAAAAATAAAGTACTAAGATACTACAGAATTTTGAAAATATTGCATTAGAGACAGAACTTTGAAGATAAACCAGTTATGGATTAGAGGGAATTCATGTGGTTTGAAATAGTTGCATTAAAGGGAGTGATCATTTTCATATAATCTCTGATTTTGAATATCTTCATTTTTTCATTAATGTAGAAAAGCAAAAGATGATGTCCTTGCTGTGCTTAGAGATGGTTCTTGGTGGCATCAGCATGGCTCATTCTATTTTCCTTTCCTTTTTCTTGTTCTTTTGGTAGACTGGTTGAATTGCCTCCAATTCTATTCCTACACTAGCTTTGCAGAAATTGGCTCATTTATTCTAGCTGTTCTCCTGGAACTGAACAGCCAGAGTTTCTGCCAGTACTCCTTATTCCCTACATGATGGCTGGGAAATTTGGGAAGTTGAAGTCCATAAGCCTTAAAGTTATGGGGTTTGAAATACACGGCCCTACCCATTTCTTTTTCCTAAGCATGGACATGGGTAGAGTTGGCTGATCTATATTCCTAACAATAGGAAGAGTAGTTTTAATCAGTGCTGGCTATTTGCCAATCCTGGTTGCTGTCCAAGATGAACTTTGTTTCTTGGTTATTGCTATATCAGGAATTGATGAAGAGGTTATTAGTATGTTTGCGTTGTTTTACTGTTGAATGCTTTTACTATAGATTTTTTTAAAAAACTGTGACTTTTTAAAAAAAGCTTTAAAATTTAATTGTAATCTTGATTCATTTTTCTAAGAAAAAGGAAAACTGAGAATTATGTTTAAAAGTAGGACTATAGAAGGAAAACAAATATATATAAAACAATCCAACTGTACTATATGGACCAATGCTTACAGTGAAAAAAGATTTGACATATCTCTTCTCCCCTGCCCCTTCTTCTCCCCCGCTATTCATCAATATGTTCAACAGATGAAGACAGTTTATCAGGGGACAAGAACAACCTGAAGGCATCTGACTCTCAGATCAAGAGAAAGAAACGACGTCACAGGTACAAAAAGAAACTCATGCTAGATATATGGGAGCATAGCCTCAATATCTTCTGTATTAGCATTAGGATATGTTGCATTTATGTTCCAAACATTGTTACAATGGTTTTGTAATATATGATTACATTGCCTTTTGGGGTGTGTGTGGAAGTGGGCAATAGAATTATGAATGTGAAAGACAGAGGGAAATATGATGGGAGACAGGAAGTGGGCTGCTCTCAGAGAATGTAAGACAGTTGCCTTATACCAGTTTTACATTCCAGCTCATTTCATAGTCTCAAACCTGGTACCCTATCAGCAGGCCTTTGGTGGCCCTGCTTTTTGGCTGTTGCTTTTAAATGCCAGGTCAGTCTGTAAGAAGTCCCACATAGTGATTTAATCATTGATAAGGGGGCCAACCTGGGTTGTACTGTAGGATCCAAAAAGTGGGCAATCCGTTTGGAAATATGCCCAGCTGGGTTTTGGGTTTGGCGTTAGCTAAAGCTCTAGGGTAGGGATGGGGCTGTGATGATTATCATCTGGGAATCTTACAGCTTTAAAGGGTACTGGATCAAATAGAGATTTGAGACCCTATTCACTAAATTGGGCTCTAAGGATCAGTTGGGATTCACCAATCTCTCTGCTGTATAGCAACTTCCCTGCCTGAACAAATTGACTTCATTTCTCAGTTGGCAGTAGAATTCTCCAGATTTATGGTTCTGGGGAACTTCAACCTGTCTTCTCTGTGAGGAGGATCTGAGATAGCTCTGGAATTCATGGTCACCAGGATGACCATGAGCTTATCCCAGATCATCTAGAACCCAACATGGGACAGCGGTCATATCTGATCTGATCATATCTGATCAGAATCTGATGTTCCTGTCAGAGCAGTAACTTTGTGAGCTGAAATTGGGGGAGCTTTTGGTGTTGTCTTTGTCATGGTCATATCACACCCTGATTTCCATGTGATTTTCTAGTGCCACTTCAGGGAGGCGAGATCCGTTAGATTGGTCTGTCCCCCATTACTGATGGACCTGGATGGGTTTCAGAGGGAGCTGGGAATTGTTCCTGTTGATCTGCTGCATGATCCATCTGAAGCTTTATAGAACCATGATTAAGTCCTACTTTGTGGCATTAAGGGTGGTGAAGCATTAGAACTTCACCCTTATTGCATCTGCAGATAGCCGCCCTGTAGCCCTTTTTGAGTAGTAAGAACCATCTTGGGTAAAGGAGGCTTAGAAGACCTCTTGCAGGGACATGCAGAGGAATTTATTCACAGTCAGCTGGAGAAAGTCACTTAGATTTGCTCACAGTTGGGCACCAGCCTTGTTATAGGTTCATACCTGGAGAGAATCTTGCCCAATTATCTGGAAACAGTTTGAACCTGTTGGACTTGAGGAAGTGGACAAGGTCCTTAAAACTGTGTGCTTAGCCATCTGTTCTTTAGATCCATGCCCTTACTGGCTTGTTAAAGTGACCCCGGGGATGTTGTGTGACACGGTTCCAGAAATGGTTAACTCTTCTTTGAGTGAGGGCTTTCTTTACCTCTTAAAGAAGATTTGGTTTGTCCCTTCTCAGGAAGCCATCACTTAACCCCACTAGAGTGAACAATTTTAGCCCAGCATCTAATTTCCCCTGTTTGGGGAAGGTGATTGAGAAGATGGTTATGCAACAGTTTCAGAGGAAGTGGATGAACTAGATTATCTGGCTCCTTCTCCGTCAGCATTCAGACTTGTGTGTATTACACTGAAACAGTATTGGTCATGCTTTTGGTGTGGTGTGGATGGGATGGGGGTTCTACATACTTGACCTCTTGGCAGCTTTTGATATCATCAAACATGGTATCCTTCTGGATTGGCTCAATGGAGCACATGGTGCTCAACACCGAGGGGCACTCAGAAGAATATGCGGAACAGTGTTGTGCTGGATCACCACCTTTCCCCATGGTCAATTCCAATTGGGGGTGAGGAGAGGTTCCACACGTTTTAAAAAGGCTGTTTTTGCTCCCTACTATAGTAGTGATGCTGTTAGCTTGTTTGGTAATGAAACATCTGCAAGAAAACAATCAAGCTCAACAAGCACTAAGGACCCCGCTAGATTAATACAACATTTACTTTATACATTTGGTTCTACAGGAGCATATTTCTCAATTAAGATGCTGCATAGGCAACCTAATCTCGGCAGTATTTTTTTTTGTTCCCATAGAACTGTGTTTACTGCCCATCAGCTCGAAGAACTGGAAAAGGCTTTTAATGAAGCTCATTACCCTGATGTATATTCCAGAGAAATGTTAGCTATGAAAACTGAACTGCCAGAGGACAGAATACAGGTAGGTTGTTTTGTGTTTAGAACCATTGGATTTCTTTGATACAATAGACAAATTCAGGGCCCAAATCCTTCCAGACCTACCTAAGTTTGAAGTTTGCAAGATGATTTTACAGAAAACATTGAAGTATTTTCAAGGCTTGAAAACTTAGAAGGGAGAAGGGCAAGGATGTCCATGGGGTGTGGTCAAAATAGCAAGATGGTAGCTGTGACCGTGTGATCAATGCTGTTTTTATGTGTGTGTCACACATGTGTGACATGTTCACACGTTCAAGGATTTGAATGAACCCTCATGACTGCCATCTTGATTTTTTTTACTGTATCATGCAGATATTCCAGAACAAGGACTTGCTCTATAGTAGATGTTATTGCAAGGCACATCTAGAATTGATTTTTTATTACTAAAAATAATACTAAAAATAATAATTCTCCCCTGCTTGGGGAGATCTACAGAAAAACATCGGTCAGATATTAGCTGCAATCTATAGCATACTTTATCCCAAGATTTTCAAATCAATCCTTTATCTCAGGGTTGACTTGAAAAACAACAAAATACAAATAGGCCTGCGGATATAATCTTTGGAAATAGAGAATGTTCGGCTGCTTTTTGGTATATTTACAGAGAGAGAGGCCTACTGAATTCCCAAAAATTGGTTGTTCATGGTTGAAGTTTAAAAAAACCACCTTAAATATTAATATGATATCATAATGGAATCCTAGGGTATAACTTTTAAACTTTCTCATCTGAATCCTGATTTGAAAAGAAATGCCAAACTTTCTCTATGTACAGATGGTGGTTTATTGTTTGGTACAAAACAGAGATGCACCCCCCTACCCTCCAAAACTGAGCATCTACCTGCAAAATTGACTTTGTATAAATATACAAAAGTATGAAGGCTATTTCTTAATGCACTGTAAGCCGCCCTGAGTCTCCGGAGAAGGGCGGCATATAAATCAAATAATTAAAAAAAAAATTGACCAAAATGGAGAAAGTATTCAATGCATGGGGTGGGGGCTTTCCATCAATTGTATTGAATTAAATTAAAAATAATTTCAATAATTTCAATCCCACTCATGCACATGGAAACACATATATTGCTGTTAAATGTGTGCTTCTGGTTCTACTTTTGAAAGGTTTGGTTTCAGAACCGAAGAGCCAAGTGGCGGAAGCGTGAGAAATGTTGGGGCCGCAGTAGTGTGATGGCCGAATATGGTCTCTACGGTGCCATGGTGAGGCACTCCATCCCACTTCCAGAATCAATTATCAATTCTGCCAAAAGTGGAATGGTTGGTTCCTGTGCCCCTTGGCTGTTGGGTAAGCACATCTGTAGAGTTGTTAATGTATAGGTCAATGATGGCTAACCTTTTTGCCATTGCGTGCCAAAAGTGGGGGGAGTATGGGGGGGTTCTGCACTCGTGTGCCCACACTCATAATTCTATGTGCCCCACCCCTATGCATGTGTGTGCGACCCCCCCGTGCTTCCCCCGTTTTTGACATGTGATGGCCTGGTGGGCCTGGTGGGCCCGGTAGGCCCGTTTTTTGCCCTCCCCAGGCTTCAGAGCCTTTCTAGGAGCCTGGGGAGAGTGAAAATGGCCTTCCCCACCCCCCTAGAGACCCTCCGGAGGCCGGAAATGGCCTGTTTGCCGAATTCCAGTGGGCCCAGAAGGCCCGAAAATCAGCTGGCCAGCATGTGCATGTGCACCGGACCTGAGCTTGCGTGCCCACCAATATGGCTCTGCGTGCCACCTATGGCATGTGTGCCATAGGTTCGCCATCACGGGTATAGGTGGTTAAAATTACTAAGTGAAAAAATGGCTAAGTACTGTTTCCTGTTGAACATATTCTTTTACTTCTTTCACTCAGGGGCTAAAATGATCACTAGCAGTAGAATGACCCTTCAAAATGTTGCATTTGGTAACATTATTATAGAGGTTATGAAATCTGCCTTCTAATACTAATGGAGAATAGCTGGTCTCTCCTTAACAAGAATCCTATATTGTATCTGTACAAGTAGTCTTTGACTTAATGACCATTTGTTTAGGAACAGGGACAGCACTGAAAAAAGGCACTTATAACTGGTCCTTAAACTTACAACTGTCATAGTATCCCTGAGGTTCCATGATCATGATTTGGGTGCTTGGAACCATCATGCATTTACATTTGTCACAGCGTCTCACAGTGATGTGATCACCATTATAACCTTCCCAAATGGCTTTTGACAAGAAAAGTGAACGTGTTGATTTGGAAGTTTGCAAGTTGCAGTCACCTGATGTCTTGCTTGATGACTGTGATTCACTTAGCAACTATACTGCAAAAGGTTATAAAATCAGGTGCGGTCGCATGATGCCTCACTTAACAACCTTATTGCTCAATGAGGCATTTTCTGGCTGCTACTGTGGTCATAAATTGAGGATTATCTGTATGTGTATAGTTGTGGTGGTTATGTGTGCACATATCTGCCCATGTGAGTCATTCACTGTCCATGTGACTCACCAAAAAATGTCTGTGCAAAACACATGCAGACATACACACTCACACATATTTTAAACTTATTTTCTGCCTATAGCTTACCCATAACATTTTATGTTATAAGAAGACTAAATTTGTGTGAGTAGTGGAATTTGATATTTCTTATATTCATATAATCTGCAGTTTTCAGGTTTGAGAAATGTTCATAATTCATAATTTCATAGAAAAGTAGAGTGAGATACAGAACTATGTGTATGTATACATTAGATTTTTTTTTATTCCACTTGTTTTACTTTTATAAGTAACTCAAGATGGCAAGCATACTCTTTCCTCCTATTTTCCCCACAACAACAACCCTGAGGTGAGGTGGTTTGGGTGTGAGAGAGAGCTTCCTCTTTGTTATAGCTTAAACTGATATTCAAGGGACGCGGTGGCTCAGCAACTAAGACACTGAGCTTGTCAATCGAAAGGTCGGCAGTTCAGCGGTTCGAATCCCTAGTGCCACGTAATGGCGTGAGCTCACGTTACTTGTCCCAGCTTCTGCCAACCTAGCAGTTTGAAAGCACGTTAAAAATGCAAGTAGAAAAATAGGGACCACCTTTGGTGGGAAGGTAACAGCGTTCCGTGCACCTTTGGTGTTTAGTCATGCCGGCCACATGACCACAGAGGCATCTTTGGACAATGCTGGGTCTTTGGCTTTGAAACGGAGATGAGCACTGCCCCCTAGAGCCGGGAATGACTAGCACATATGTGTGAGGGGAACCTTTACATTTACCTTTAAACTGATATTCATAGCCAGAAGACCTCCCCTCCTGAAAACTGATATTTTAGCTTTCACCCTAAACTAGAAGTGTTCACCCATGTGAAACAGAAGCTGTTGCATTAATTTCATGTCTCTTCTAGTGTGGTTGGTGCCAATCTATTTATGGGTCGGGAAAAAAGGGAGTAAAAGGGGCATTTTTCTTTTCCTGTTTCTCAGTACTACAATAAGGAAGCCCAGGGATTGAGTTACTGCCTCATTGCATTGATCTATTGGGGACAGGATGATTGTATAATAAAACTGACTTTTTATTTATTTTAGGAATGCATAAAAAATCAATAAATATTACAAGAAAGCCTGAAAATGAAGAAAAAGGAAATGGCATCTGGAAATCTGAACATCCCGAGGAGGAATTCAAAATTAAGCAGACAGAATATGAACGAAAGCCCACTAATAGATTAATCTCAATGGACAGTTCGGAAGATACTGCAATTGATCTCTCTAGTACGGCAAAGCAGGAAAAGAAGAGTAGTAATCTGAGTTTTGGTGGAGGCCCATAGACCAAAATGAAAGATGCTGAACACTAAGGACAAGGAGGGGACACACAACAACTGTTAACCAAACACTTAAGTTGGCCTCTTCAATGCTCTGGCAAATTATGAGTATTATTGCTCTATGCTTATTTATTAGTCTTTTTCAAGTGACATTCATTTTACGGGCAAAGGGGACTTTCTGAGATAAAATATATCCAAGATATAATTTATTTTTACAACTTGAAAGTTGTATTTGTAAAGAAGATAATTTGCTGCAGCTGGATAATTTTTCTTTATATGTCTCACTAAGTCACCTTTCACCAAAAGTCTAAAAATAACATTTGGTTCTATTTTTGGTAGAGAGGCAAATAAATACCCAATCATTCAAATCTTACTCGATCAAGTAAATAGAATTATTAATGAAAGCAATATGCAATAGATTTCTGTTAAATTAAACCAAGGTAGAAAATTATAAAACGATCTGAATTTCCCCCCCAGAGATGATCATTCTCCTTATCTGCATATGGATATTTAATAATGAAAGATAAATTATGTGATAAAGCAAATAATAATGAGAAACACTTTTCTGAGATTATCTGGTACCCTCCTGATATGTTGGAAATACAAATCCTAGAATTCTCCATCAGCCTGGAAACTCAGATATATTTATTTATTTATTTTTATTTTACTTCAAATTTATATACCGCCCTTCTTCCTGGGAACTCAGGGCAGTGTACAGCCAGATAAAAACACATAATATAAACATTAAGAACAAATTAAAAGGAAATATCTCAAATTGGCCAAAAATTTAAGAAACATACAAATTTAAAATCATTTAAAAGGCATTGTTAGGCCAGCCCGGCTTGTTGGAAAAGGAAAGTTTTAAGGGAACGGCGGAAGGCATATCTGTCCTGATAGTCATTTGCAGTGGACGTAGGGGAATTTCTGACTTCAGCTGGTTTTAACAATAGCACCAACTGCTTTTTCTTCCTTCTCCATTAAAGCGCTAATATACATCGGATAAGAAACAGATTTCTGTGTGAAAATATTTATTAATAATAAATATCCTTTAATTTCAAGTATCCTTTTGCACTAGACTCCAGTTGGAGAAACTCAGGTTTCTTGTAAAATGTAAAGTAGTTCCTATAAACCTTACGTCTGCCTATTTCTACTGTATTGTAAAAGCAATATTCATTAGTGCAGTTAGATGTCTCACATGTACTGTACAATATACGTAATACACAGAACAAGGGAAATGAAGAACCTTGATGAAAATCTGCCAGTAGCAACCAAGAACCTATTTTGCTTGACAGATCTGTACTGAAGCTTGTAAATTGATGATACTGTTCTGATTTAATGCTGATCAGAGTCCTCCTGACCCCCTTGAAAGCTCTATGGATTAATATAGAGTTATAATTAAGTTAAATGCTCATATTTTCCTTTGAAAATCAAAGAACACTGTCCTCACCTTTAAACAAATGACAGGACAATATCGGTCCATAACAACACAAAACAAAATTTATTTTCATGGCATAACTACGGTATCAGTTCCTGATCCCTAACAGGATAGAGCTACATTTTATTACATGGAATTATGTGTGTAGATTGGAACTCAGTTATTTGCCAGTTTGTGGCCTTCTTTAAATTCCAAGCCCAGCAGCTTTATTCACCAAGGGTTATGAGAATAGAAGTACAACATAAAAATGTTTGCACGTTACTCACCTTGTCTTTGAGGATTTTGTATTAGCGATGTTGGTGTTTACATTAGAACATCCAATAGTCCAATTGCTGAAGGCTTGCAAAAACATAGATTTCTGTTATCCCCAATTATACAATTTCATTACATATTATTTTCTAAAAATAAGGAAATTAATCCTTTTTACCCATGTTTTCATCATAAAGTATGACCCTCTGTTTGTTACTACAAAACTCTATTGGGGAAAATATGCAATAAATCCAATTTATGTTATATGACACTATGCATAATTGAACACAAACCTGTATTTATAGAGAAAAAAGCCATAGAATGCAGAAAGAAAATGTTATTTTATAAGATGTCATAGAAAAATATTTTGTACTTATTCTGCATGGAAGAGTATCAACATTTGATCTTTTCCCTTTTATCTTTTTATATGTACATCTGAAAAGCACTTTGGATATCTAGCTTCATTTGTCATCTATTTATTTATATATTCACAATAAATGTTAGTGTTTTTGTGGCTTTGTGAAACTGTATATTAGCTATGGACAGTGTGCTTACAACTCCTAAAGGCACTGCCAGATGGCCAAGTTAAAATGCAATCCGCCAGTCCTACTTAGAGGCTTAGGGACACTGAAAGGAATTTTTTTTCATGAAACATAAATATCTGCATCCATTTTTGCTTATTTATTTTTAAAGATACTTGAAGAGTGAAAATAGAAAAAAGAGACAATGAGGAGGGGAAAAAGAGAATACATTAAAAAATGTACAATAAAAATTCTATGAAGTATTTACAAAATATTAAAATTGAAATGTTCCATTATTAGATTGCAACAGATAGTCATACAAAGCTTAGAATTCTAAGAACTAATATTAGAATACAATCAGAGATCGATAAAAAAAAACAGTTGAAATAATAAAATTTAAAAAATAAGAATTAACAACTTCCAATGAATCTGAAGCAGTTCATTTTTTTTCATTTCAATCAGACAAAATCTAGTGCTTAAAAATGTTGAAGAATCCAAAACTTTGGATGTAGAAGTTTATCTGCAGAATTATAAACTTTATAAACTTCATAAAGGGCTTCCAAGTTAAAGTTAGCACCAGGCTTGAAAATATGTAATTATTTTTGACAGTAAAATATATTCTATAAATTTAATGTTCCTGAGCTGGCATATAATTTCCAGTGGAAGGCAGGGTAACTTAGCAGTAACTACATATAAGGTCAATTCAGTATATTTTGTAAGAATATAAATTTTGATGAGGCAACAGAAAAATAGCTGGCAGAAAAGGAATCTTTGTTTCATCCTTAAATAATTGTTTCCCCAATTGCTGAGCTTTGTGACATTACTACTAGATATGAAAAAAAAGATCCAATCTTCCATTAAATATATGTGTGATAATATTATAAATGTAGAATTATATTAACTTTAGAGTCATGCTGAGTTTACTGAAAGAATTATTAAACCTTTGGGGCACAGAAGGTATTGGGAACTAGTAGTAGGTAATCTCAGCATCTTGTTAAAACACATATATTTATATAATGAAGTGAAAGGACAAGGATCTTACTTCTTGGTTGGAGCCCAAGCTACTCCTCTTGTCATTTTCTCTGGCAAGAATATAAATATTACAGAACATGGGGTTTTGAATGACCCAAGGAAATAGTCAGAAGAGATAACAAAAGAGGTATCAAGAAGTATCTATCTTTGCTTCTAGTAATTTAATCTCCTGCTATTTTTGTTGGCCATGGAGGAATATAGTAAAAGAATAAATCATACATTTATTTATAAACAATGGAAGGTCTGGGGGTGAGATGAAAAGAACTACAAAAGCTTTTTCCTCTGAACATATTGGCTAAAGGTAGAAGAAACTGTGACCAAACAGTATCTGAGGATCAAGATTCACCACCCTTCTTCTTGAGGGTGAGAAAGAAACTGAATACAAGGAATGAAAAAAAACCCAAACCAGCTGATGACAGCAGGAAATGACACACCCAAATGAAAAATAAAATATCTTTAGTGGTCCATATGGAAATCTCAATTGTCAACAGAGAGGAAGCAAAAAGTTTAGAATATGAAAATGAGATAAGAAAATGGTCGGGATTACACGTCACTAAACCTATTCCAACAACATATTTAATACAATCAACCACTAAGCCCATCAAATTTCCATATTCATGGTTCTATCGGCATTCAGTCACGCTATCTAGTCAAAACTTGCCACTCTGGGATTATAAAGAACCTGTCCATCTTCCCCAGCAAATGACTAGTATCTCATGAACCCTTGCATTAATAAGTATTGGTACAACTTAATTTCAGCACTACATTTTGTCCAGGAAGACAAGAAACAGCCTGTCTTGGTGTTTGTATGATGAACAATCACTACTTGGAAGTTATGCTATATCCTGCCAGTCCTTAGTAGTGAGTTCAGGGTGGCTTCCTTTTTCAACTGTTCTTTCTTTCCAGCAATTTTTCTCCAAAAACTAGCCAGGTAAAACAAGTTAATTGTGATAATATTGTATGAGGAAAGATGCTAGATACAGAAGATCTTGTTCTTGTTCTTTACCTTTCCAAAATATTGGACATGGAATAATTTATAGGAAGTCAGATTCTGATTTAATGCTACAGAAAAAAAAAAAACCTTGGTGTTGCAAATTTGATGAGTTCCCCTTCTACCCCCTCATCCAAGTCATTGATGAAGATATTGAAGAGTACTGGGCCTAAGACAGAGCCTTGGTGTAACCCACTGCATACTTACCTCCATGTAGTTGCAGTTCCATTAAGGTAACGGTTCCCCTCGCACATATGTGCTAGTCATTCCTGACTCTAGGGGGCGGTGCTCATCTCGGTTTAAAAGCCAAAGAGCCAGTGCTGACTGAAGATGTCTCCGTGGTCATGTGGCCAGCATGACTAAATGCCAAAGGCGCACGGAATGCTGTTACCTTCCCATCAAAGGTGGTATCTATTTTTCTATTTACATTTTTTATGTGCTTTCGAACTGCTAGGTTGGCAGAAGCTGGGACAAGTAACGAGAGCTCACCCTGTTTCACGTCCTAGGGATTTGAACCGCTGAACTACCGACCTTTTGATCAACAAGCTCAGTGTCTTAGCCACTGAGCCACTACGTCCCTCTTTCATTAAGGACTGCATGTTAAATGCGGTTGGTCAGTCAGTTACAAATCCATCTGGTGGTCATGCTGTCTAACCCACATTTTTCTATCTTATCAAATAGTAGGTTGTGGTCTACTTTATCAAATGCCTTACTGAAGTCCAAGTAAATTATACCCAGAGCATTTTTCTGGTCCACTAATTTTGTCACTTGGTCAAAGATCACAATGTGCTTTACATTGAAGACCACCTGGAAACTACAGCTAGTTCAAAATGCAGCAGTGTGAGCAGTAACAGGTGCCTCTCAGGGTACCCAGGAGTCATCACTGGTATGTCAATTGTACTGGGTGCCAGTCAGCTTCTGAATGTAATTCCAGATGCTGATTATTACCTATAAAGCCCTGTATGATAGCCTCCCTGGATATCTGGTGGATTGTCTCCACATGTTTCTGCCCACAGGTCTCCTCTATTAAACACTGCAATATTGTGGGAAATTTTGTTTGAAAAGATTAAAAATTAGAATACCAAAAAGCAATGATTATGTTACTTTTCAGTTGTGTATAAATATAAATTCCGGTTATGTATAAA